TAGAATTGTGCTGCTCTGGGCTTCAGCTAAGACCACTGTACAGCTGCCACCTTCTTTAAGCTGCTTGAAATTATTGTAGAAATAAGATGATTATTATTACCAGAGGTTTCAAACAAAGGAATTTTGACTGGCAAAGTCCTTGAAGTTTGCACTGATGTTATTGCTAATTTAAGTAGGGGCAAAGTTTTTCTAGGAATGAAAACTCAGTTTCAAGGTGAGAGAGCAGGACTTCTGCAGACATCCAAACCATTGTTTAGTAGGCTGCAAGACATTTTCTGTTAATATTCTTTTTCTGAATCATATCCTTGTTTAAATACCTGAAAGAAAATAGAAAAGATGCAAAAAAGCCCCAAATTTTGCTCTTTTTGTTTCCTCTTTTGGTAAATGAGAAAATGCTTAATGCAGCAAGAGAGGCAGTCTTTAATGATGACAAACTGATTTTTCTTAAGATGAGATTTTAGTTTAATTTTCTGATTGGGAGGTGTTTTGCTTTTTGTTTAAGATGTGGTCATATATGTTTGCTATCAGGGGACTGGGATGTGGTTACGTTCTACCCATAAAGAAACTGCATAGAGCTTTATGCAGTTTATGAACTACTCAAGGCTTTGGGCATGTCTGCAGATGTGGACTGGTAGGTGAGGAAGAGAACAATGAACAGAGGTGCAGGACAAATGAGTTTTCAAAATGTGCAGTACATGGTTAAGCTGGAAGTATGTAGCACAACAGTGGCAACAGGGAAGCGTCTGCAGGTTTTTATGAGGAGTGAGACATGATAGGTTCGAGAAGCATGTTCCTCATGTAAAACCACGACTGACTTGTTGCTTTAGGAACCTCAGTAGATCAGCTTTATCAGTTCAAGTATAATGTTGGGCAATCCTCTCTACTGTTGTGTGCAATCTCACCAGTTACCTCTTTTCTAAACGTCTTTGAGGGGGATAATAACATGTCTTTTCTTATGCCCAGGAGATTTTTTTTGAGCTCTGCTTGCACTGATTCCCAAAATTAACTCAGTTCTCTTCCCATCAGAAGCAGGGCTGCTAGATGCCCTGCATGGCCGCCAACTGATAAAGAACCTGCTTCTTTCCTTTCTGGACTTTTAACTAAACAAATACAAAATTTTGCTATCTGAATTACAGAATTGTTACCAACACTAGCATTAATATTACCTAGACATTTGAGCAACATATTGTAGGACTAAATGAGACAGATATTACAGACACTCTTAACATAAAGCATAAGTAACATTAATACAGTTGGAGAACAAAGTGTACCAGGTTATTACTTGTCAAGAGCCAGAATGCGGCTCCTGAGGCAAGAAGCACAGAAGAGATTGCAGCCTGCAGAGAAGACAGGTCACAGTATGCAGAACTCTCTCAATCCAGATGGAGCATAGTGGCTTGGGATTTGTTTTCTCCAAGCCTTTATTAAAAACAGAGGCAGTGGTGAGGTTATTTTAGAGCTCTAGTACAGCAATTCACTGGGTAGATACTGTGTTTTCTGCATTCACCTTCTAGGAGAATAAAATGATGGCAACAACAAAAATGTTTTTACCTGTGAATTGTTACAGCAATTGTGGAACTTTTACCTTCATTCAGCTTCCGATATTTCAGAAGGCTCACGTTCCAGTATAAACACCTGCACATTCCACATAATGTTGTTACTATCTATGGGAAAGGAGAGGGAAAATAAAACTGAGAAAGCTGTGTTTTGAAGACAAGTAACTGCCAGACCTGAGGCATTTACACATAGATACATGTATATATACATGGTAAAACTAATAAATTGAGACCATGTATCTGAAATAGCTTCTGTACTTCATACTTGTTCCTTATGGTAAGACAAATGTAAATCTCTGTCTCCCTTCCATTGAAAATGCTTCTGTTTTCCAACTACAGAGAGCTGTCAGTCCAGGGAGATGAGTCCATGTGATGGCAGACGGCTTCTGGAGAACAAATAAGGAAACAGGAACAGAACACTTCTAAACCACACTAATCCAGAGGCAGCATGGAGGTAAAAAATGAAGACATGCCTGAGGAACTCCTACTGAAAACCTAATTCTAGTAATTCTCCATCACAGGGATCAGAGTAACATAGAGGAGTCCTGGCTTAAACGTAGGCCAGCTGGATTTGTGTTTAGATCTTTATGGGTAAACAAGATAAATTAATATGATGGTTTTTGGCTTCTTTGCCTCAAGATCTAAAATACAACATTTGTTTATCTAACACCAGAACATTTTGGGGAAGAAAAGCTCCCCTAATAAACAGCCTACATATAGGATTACATAGCTGCATGGGAAAAAAAAGATTATTTTTATTAATGTTGTCTTAAAAATTGCGATTTCTGCCAGAAACTTGATATAGCAAGCAGAGGTTAAAGCCATCATAAGTGGTGTTGTATACTTATTTCCTGTACTGTCAGGAGCTCTTTTTTTTGTAAGTAAAGAATTCAAGCTCTACTGCTGCTTAACAGATGATCATCCAATCACCGTACTGATGACAGACCCACACTGAAGGTCCTGGAAGCTATCAGTAATCCAGTGCCTTGCCAGTGCTGGCATGATTTTACCTGCTCAACAGCCTAGTAGATGTGCACAATGTCTACCTTGAATTTATGTAAAATATTTAAAGAAGAAAACCAATAACAAAATCCAACCAACAACGCCAAACAGGCTGCTTTAGACTTGGTCAATCTATAGTCACACATCCTTTATTCTGCTAGTACTTAAACATCTAATATGTAACTAGTGGAGGGAGAAGTTGCTCCAGGGTTCTCCTGTTTAAAATGTTCTTGTTTTTTTCTAGGTTGTCATCTTTGTTTTTTCTTCTGTAGCATTTGTACGATTACAGAGGCACATGAATCCATACATTTATACACAACTTTCACCCAAATGAAAAAACAGAAGAAACCACCCGAAATCTTGCAGAGGTATTGTTCATGTCCGTATACAAAGAGCATTGTGCCTACAACTGCAAAACAGAACAGCTGTTTATGCACAGCAATCAGTGTAATGAGTGGTTTGCTCTCTCAGAGCACAAGGTCTCAGATTGCTGAGCTGTTCCCTCTTCAATCAATGGCGTAGATTGATTCAGTCAGAAAATCTCGGCATCATTGTCTGTGAAGTGTCAGGAAGGACAACTGACTCCCTTTGTGTTGCGCCATTCCTGCGGCAGAGCTGCTCCAGCGATTCCGGCTGCTGGCGACATCCCACCCTGCACTGCGTGGCAACGTGTTAGTGGCGAACCCTGGACCAAAGGCAGGACCAAAAACCATACGGTAAAATTCCATAATGATCTAATTAGCAGTTTGCTGCCCTTTGGGCTTTTGAAAATAATCCTAAAAGTTGATTTGCAAAACATTTTCTAGAAAAACAGTGTAACAGTTAAAACACAGGACTTCAATGTAGTGGTTAGAAATTGTGATCTATCTGTACAGGTTTCTATTCAGTTTGATGAAATGGTGAAAGATGAAGAGAACTGGTTAAAAAAACCCACCTCAGTTGTCTACGTACCTCATAGGATTTACTGTGATTTTACTGCAAAGTAACACAGCTATCTTGTGTGTTATACCTCTGACATCAGGCTTAGCCAAAAAGTACGATCACTGAACAGAATTGGTTCTATTTTAGCTCAAACCAGGACAGTTGCCAAGTTCACAACTTACTTACCGTAACAAAGTTGCAACTTATTAAGGATTGAATCTTTGCATTAATTTGCTACAATATCATTCTAGCTCAGGTTAGAGCCAAAAAAAAAAAAAAGATAAATGGTACATGAATACAAATTAGAGTTTAATATCCCATGCAGCTGTTTACATCTGCTTAATTAAGCAGCAGTGACTTCACATTAGCATTGCTACGGTACCATAAATACACACTGGAGAAAAAGGTACAATCATGTTAGCCACCCTCTTAATGTCAAATCAATGCAAGTTTGTTTTATTTTTAGAAAAGTCTTCATGTTTAAGTAGGATCTTCAGGTGCGGCACATTTGGTTTTGGTACAAGTGCCAGGGTTTTATAAAAAGACTATGCTCCTGGAGGCACACAGTTTAAGCACTAAATGAAGAGCTCTAATGGAAACTATGAACTTAACTAGAGTTGGAAGTCGGCAGGTAATTTTGCTTTTGGAGCCTTTACAAGAGTCTCGCAGTGTTTTGTACACTAACAGAAGGGGAATAAATAACCATCTAGAAAAATGCAGTGCTGCCTTAGCACTGGTGAAGTTCGAACACTTTGACTAGGCGGCATAAACTCTTTGCTGAGTTTACCAGCAGCTGTGGCGCAGAGCTGCTCGTCGTTTTGCTTTTTGACTAAAGAACCCCTGACATAATGCAGATGTGCCTAAGTCAGTATTTTGAGAGGTATGTACAATCAGCACAGACCTTGGATCAGCACACCATACCAACACAACAGCAAAATGATATTTTGGTCAGAACTATGAAAGTCTGTTAACCATCAGCATAAGAACACAACCTCAATTGGTGCCATTTTTAATGATTAGAAATAATACATTGTAAAACAAAAAGTGAAAAAATTCCAGCGTGATACTTATAAACAAAGAACAAATAGAAAACAAAAAAGCTTCGTATTTGCCTGATTTATAGTATTTATCATACAACAGATCATTAGTCTGAGGTAATATCAGTAATAACCTTTTAGTCTTTCAAGGACTGCTCAGAAATTAAGAACAGTGATAGTAACACATGATATACGAAAAGTGAGACTCGACTATTAAATCCCTTACCCTTTTTAGTTAGGGATCTGTGGTTGCAAGTATAAAATTGGAAGTAAGTCTATACAGTAGGAACTACAGAACGTTAAAAGTCCTGCGTGGTATGTCATTAGCTCCTGTAAGTACTTAAAAGTACAGCTGATTATGTAAAAACCAGACATTTCAACAGAAAAAAGCCTTTGTTCCAGAATAGCCCTTAAAAAATTTAGAATACTGTTAGTTTGCATAAAATAGCCAAATGAAAGACGAATTCAGAAGTCCAGATTTCGGCATGAGGTAAAACCATGTGCATTTTTATCATCTGCATTTTAGAATTAGTAAGCATAGAATTAAATATGTTGACTGTAATGAATTCAGTCATACGAGTGCAAGTCTTCAGCTAGAACGTATTTTATGGCAGTTTATTTAAAAAATGTACCAGTAAATCATAAAAGAGGGATCATGTCCATTTAACGTTTATTGAAGTATACAGGAGGTTTTCTTTAGAATCAAATATGAGCATGAATATATGGCCAAACGTAAAATCTATCAAATTCAGTGAAAATTTTCTGACTTTAAATAGTAGCTGTAAGAATGACCAATATATATTCTTTGTTACAACCGCCCTCACTCTACAAGTAAAAAAAAATAATAAACATTCAGTAAACATTCTTTCCTAAGGTAGTTTCCCTTATATATCAGCGATTTATCCATTTCTTGTATAGATAAGTTTTTAAACATACCAATCAGTGGTTCTCACAATTGAAAAATAAAAGCACAAAAAAGTTTACACTCTTGTACAGGTAAATAAAAGATCATCTTGAATTAAACTGTATATCCTTAAGGGCATAGTATAGTTTCAATTTCATTACCTATTATATAATTAGCTTCTTACATACAAATATTGACATATTTGGCTTGTGCTTCAAAGCCTTTGTGTCTAGAAAGTCCATGTCAATGGAACTCATAACTTGAAATCAGTGGGGATATCTTTACTGCTGCTGGGTTTAACCTGTTCGTGCAACATAGTCTCTTCTGAACTTGCTGTGGCACTGCATTTTTCTGTGGCGTCATCGAGGTCTGGATCCAATCCTTCAGGACAGGGAAGTTTTAGAAGTTCTTCCCGCAACTGGGCCGTGTGACGCTGAACATACAAAAAGGAGGAGTAAGTCAAAAAGGTGTAAATGTACCGTTTCAATGACCGGCTAAACTTTTCCCCTGTATTTAAGGATTGGTGCTTTCCTTGTAGTGACAGAACAATTTGCAAGTGCTGCTCAGGTCAAAGTAAATGCAGTGAGCAGAAGAGCAGCGAACAAGTGCATCAGTATAAATGCCTCGCTATCTGTCTTGCAGTTGAGTCATATGGGTGTTCTGTGATCACAGCAGAAACTGGCTTGGATTAGGCAGGTCACACAGTTAAAGTATAAAGTTATAAAGAGTTCATGATGAGGTCTGTTACGGAGACAGACTTGTATCCTGATCACTAACTATCTTCATTTTGAATACCACTCACATTAAAAGAATGCGAGTCTAGCAAAAGAAAAAAGCTGCCTTGAAAAATTCATTTTTCTTGCTCCTCAAGGGAAGTAAAAAAAAGTCTGTTTTCTGTCTGTACACAAAGCACACAAATGATACTACTTGGCTGGGAAGGAAGAAAGCATGTATACTGGTTATAACTGCTGATAAAAATTAAAACAGGATAAAACTAATGGTAATGGACCACAGTTTAATGCCTGTGCTTGTCTTTTCAAAAAGCTTATTTTCTGGCAAGGAATTGGTTGTAGTACGACTACATCATAAACCCCCACTCACCCTCAGAGAGAACAAAATAAACTCTATCTTACATAAGTATTTATAGAAAATATAGGCAGGATAGACGCTACATGAAAAACTAACTTGTAGAAAAAAAGTACTGAGAAAGTGGAGTGTACATAGACTTTATATCTTGACAGCTGGGAAACGGATTTGTTTACTTGTTTTAAATTTGCTGTGGTTTTCTGTTATTATTATAAAACTCAGCTGTTGAGCAATTTCACTGCCATTTGCCAGCTTTGGATTAATGAAGATAAAATCATAAAAGCAAGTCTCACCTTTAAAGCTGCTGCATGATGGGACATAGTCCTGCCCACGCGTTTGTCACTGCTGTACTGCTGGATGTCTGCTATCCATTCCTCACACTGAGCCATGATCTCCACTCTTTTCAAGTAAAAATGTTTGTGGATGACCTGCAAGAAAACATTTTGAATAAAAGAACGATGTTCACTGTTTTTCTAAAAACCACATACTTTAATAATACAAAATTTGTAAGACCCCTGTGAGTCTAACTGGATATGAGGAAAAACCAAAATCAGTATGAGGATAATTCAGCTATGAACAAGGTTCCCAATAAATTGTGGAATTTCTGTCCTTGAAGGTTTCAAGACGCAACTGGAAAAAGCCCTGAGGAACTTGGTCTGAATTCAGCTGATCTTGTTTTGAGGAGGTGGTTGGCCTGGATGTCCCTTCCAGTCTTTACGAATCTACAATTTCTGTGCAGCCTGCTGTCTCGGCATTCACTTGTGTTATCTGAGTGAAGGGTGAGTGCCAGAAATACATTATCACACCACGGAACGGAAAAAGTGAGAGCAGATCGAAGATAAACTCACTATGCAGGCACTATGTACGGTCGTTTATGTTGCATAGGGGTGAGGTTAGACAGATAAAATATTAAGGCTTCTATTGTTGCAACTTTATTTTAAAAATAGTGCTATTTTAATTGTTTTTATTTTTATTTAAAAACAGTGCAATTTTATTTAAAAAGCACAGGCAGGAAGTTTAAAGTGCTGTGTGTCCCTTTGTCACTAACCACTTGCTGCCTGAACCGAAGAGAGATCAACAGGAACACTGTCAACAGTACGAGCCCAGGAACATAACATGCTTCTGCACAGGGAAGGGTCAAACCAGCCAGTACGGAAGAGCTGCCACCACAGTTACGTGTCCTGGGCAGAGGCAGCATCTGTGGGATCACCAGGATTCCCAGGCAACAGAAGTTGAGCTCTCCACAGTTTGGTTGGGAACCAGCATTTGATTGCGTAGTAATTTTGGTATTTCTGTACAGAGTTGAGTTTAAAAAAAAAGGACCACTCAACCCTCAGATGAAGTTGTGAAACTCAAGTGTTCGCTGTTTTAAGCAGCTTTCTAAAACTCTGCTTCATGAAAGAAACAGTAATATCACAGAAATTTTATTCAGCACAGACAGTTCTTGGAAATATTGAAACATAATTGACAAAATCATCTTTCCCTCTAGAGGTTACAGAAAAGCTGCATATTGAAGGCATAACTGGCTTCAGTTCTGGATGCATTCCTTATATCCATAATGGAGCTTGGAAAAACTCCCAAAGACTGGCAGTTTAGATCTCCTGTCATTTAAGACATTGAAGGGAAGATGGCTCAGATTTGTGAAGACAAAAGATCTCAGGAGCTGTAGGATGCTGTACGTTCTTTCTTAGCCCTCAGATTTCAGGATGCCTTTGCATTTATGTTGTTGAATGATCATTTTTGTTAATGTTCCTAACACAAGCGTACAGAAAACCTAGAGGTCTTAAAACCAAACAAGTCTCTCAGAAAAGAGCTCAGACATGGTATGTAAGAGATACATTTTCATTTGGATGGGGCCACAGATGGAATCCAACATTCTTCCAAAATTTAGTTGTTCCATCAGAGAAAAACATAACGCTTTCCAATGCATAATTTCTATTTTTTGATATGTCACTTTACATAATGATAAAGAATAGGCATTCAGAGAAGTAGAAAGGGAGTCCTCATGTTGCACGAGTTGATAAGGCACTGAGTAGGACCCCACACTTAAGCTGGTATGATTATCTTTTTAACACAAAAGCAAGCTATCTTAGCCTCCAGCTTCTTACAGAAGCAGGCTATCACAGCTTCAAATTTCTTCTCAGAATTGGATTTCATCTAACTGTCCTAGAGACCTCAACACAGGGGAAAACAGAAAACTACCCTAGGAAATGGAGAAAACTGACGTTACCTAAATCAGAACAAACCAATCTGGATGTAAAGCTTTGAAGTGTTGGCCAGTTTTCTTCCATGCAGCAGAACTCCTGTCTGTTCACAGGTAACAGAAGGGAGTTTTCAAACGTTCAGGACCTCACTGCAAACTGCTGCCTACCTCTTAATGCTGCTTTTCATTTAAACGTGTGTGGCTTAGCTTAATTCAACCCATTCAGAAAGCCTGTAATTGTAGTGTTTTCAACATCTGCCTTTTGGTAACGGTGTGCTGTGCATAAGTCATATGTTCTCAAGGAATGATGTGTTTTCCATTGTAACACCACCATTTGGATACACCTTATTACTTGACCTTCCCAAGGGGGGCAGGATATCAGCCTACAAACTGCCTTTTTCATGCAAGTAGTAAAAAAAGCTAAGCTCCAGGGTAAGCACAATATTGCTGAGATTCTTTTGAGAAGTGCAATAACAGCAAACTGGAACTCGTTTACCAGATATTGTAATATTGCATATCCTTAATTTCTGTATATGTGAAAAGAGCATTATTGTCAGGGACCCCATCATCCTCTGCTATCTTCAATTAATTTAAACTTAGCATAATCTAAGAACTTTTTTTGCAAATGTGCAATTGTTACATTTAGCTAGAAAAAAAAAAAGGACCTATTAGCAGAGGTTACTTGATTATATGTCATGATCTTATTTTTACCATAGTCTTCAAGTTACTGAGTAAAGCCTTTAGGAATTAATTTAGAATGACCACCGTGTTCTAATTCATCGACTCAAGACACCAGAGTACACTACACATCCTTTTCCACCCACATGTGGACAAAGTATTTAACTCCTGTCATGCAGGTGAACTGTCTATTATTTCTCATTCCATAAGACACAGTAACTGTAATGTGAAAAGCTTTCTGCATTCCAAAGATTGTTTTTACACACAGAAAGGAAGGGATGGGAGACTGCCCTCTCCCTCAGATGCCACACTTAGCAATGGGAACAATCCTAAAATAATTACACTTTTCCAGCACTTCAGCATGCAGACAACTGAAAGCATAGGTGATGCCGAGATGGCTCCACATCTTAATTTAAAAGTGGCAACAGTTTTAGTAGTTCAGAGTAAAATGTGTTTTTCTCTAAGTATTTGCTGCCAGTAGCATGAGATGACTGATGTTGCATTCATATTCATAGAGATTCTCTTACTTGGTGTATCTTAACTTTCTTGGCATATCTTAACTCTTCTCCTTGAATCCCTTGCCATAAATGTTCAAGTCCCTGAGATCTAATTGACCTGCTCTGAGAAAGTAGTAGAACTAGAGATACTGAGAGAAGACCCAATCTGCTAAATTATTCTGTGATGCTGTGAGTGAGTTAGTCTATTTTCAGGAATGTAAACAAATTGGATTTCTGTCAAATAAGTTAAGACAGTGTGAATGCATGAAGGTTACTCTTACTTTTATGAGCATCAAGACAGTTGTTTCCAAAGGCACAGATTTCTAGTTTTGCACAGATATTTTGTGGAGCCTTCCATAAATAACACTCAGGCTGGTATTTGTTTTAAAGTATTTTTCCAGTTTGCATTGTTTTGGTGTACCCAAAATAATTCCTAACACTTGCTTCAAATTCCTATTTCCTGGAAGAAGCTGGTTCCTGTTAGCTATACTGACTAACAAACACCGAAGGCCCGTTTGTAGGGCTATCAACTGTTTTCATGTGAAACGGCTGACATTAAGAATGAGCCAAGCTGCATGAAGCGTGTTTTATCAAGCTGTGCATGAAGCATCCCTACAAGCCAGTCCCCAGGTGTGGATGTTCCCCTTCCCTGGTTAAGGATCTGTGAGTCAGGAGCATCCTTATTTATCTCAGTTTCTAGAGTCAACTGCCCTAGGGAATACTGAGGAGGCTAAAAAGGACATCTTACGCGTGGTGTTTCCTAATATTTGCATTATTCTTAACACTCAAACAAGATAAATAAATAAACAAGATACTGACTGTGTTTCACAAAACCTACCTCCTTAAAACAGGGTGATGGATTTCTGATTTGTTCAAGCATTGCCCACTTGACTGTAGCCTGCCGTATGTTTCCATCGTACTCCCTGGAGCTCTGGGTACCACTCGGAGTCCCTCTTGATCGTTCATAACCCGGTTCATTAAAATATGGTTCTGCTACCAGTATTAGGGATTGGACAGACACTAACACCTGTTAAGAGAAGAAATTAAATATTAAAATTGTGCCACCCACTTGTTTTTACAAATACACATAGTTTTGCTTACCTTATATAAAAAACTACTTCTATGGCAAAATACTGTCATACATAATACAGGCTACATGCAAGTAGGGAATGGCTACGCTTTCCAAACAAAACTGTTACTACACATTAAAAATTAAGTCCTACAACTGTGTCTGACAATAGAGAAAATGACAAATGTAAATTAATAACAGAAACATAAATATAAGTAAAAGAAAATGTTTAAAGATCTCCAGCTGCACCTTTCTGTGAAAGAAAGTATTTATTTGTCAAGATCTCAGTCAACCATTCATGAACGTTTCCTGTGGCTGAGCTTACTAATTCTTCTAATTCTCAACTAGATGGAAAAGGACCAAGAGAGGTGAAATACTAACCACCAAAGTTAATCTTCCATTTTTTCCTTTCAAATGCATTCGGTTGATTTAGGTATGTTTTTAGCCCTTTTGTTTCAGATTTTATACATAGCACTGTGTGTCAGATGCCATTAAAACAGTACTTCTCTTGAGATATGAAAAAAAATGTTTTCCGTACTATATCAACACAGCACAAACTATTAAGTGATAAGGAGACGACACTTTTCCTCTTTTGAATTTTATGATCAAGTACATATGTGAATAGATGCTTACAGACATACCAGGTGTCTAAGTATATACCCAAACACTCCTAATATAAACCAAAGAATTAAATATATATATAAGGCACTTAGGAATCCAAACATGTGTATTGCATATTCATGATTTGATGGCTTGTTATTTTTTCCAGTATTAGAACATTTGTCCCTGTCAACTTCTTGTTGTACTTGAGCAAAACTAAACTAGATGTAATAATATTAATATATAGGTAAAAAGGCATAACTGACTTTTTTTTTTAGAAGTTTTATATGAAAGATAGGTTTTTCTTACGTACTTAGGACCAAGTCCAGCACGAATTTTAGAGAATACAATTCTGTGACACAAACCTAGCTACAGAACTGTAAAGAATTCAAAACAGGTGATTTTAACACTACTATTTCCTCAAATACTGTAAACCCAATAATAGGTTACATGCTGAAAAATGGCATTTCCAGCACCTGGCATGCTTCAGGGCAAACTTCCACTGCAGTAGATTCAAAATGTCAGGACAACTGCTTCTGGAACTGACACTCTCCCAGCCTAGACACAATTTCAAGCTTGGAGCCATCCCCTGGTTTAGCAGCCCAGTTTGCAAATTTGGAAACGAAAGACGAGAGTCCTGCTTCTTGGAACATACAAGATACTGTGCCAGCAACAATTCAAGACTTTGGTTCTTTCACAGGACAGTGCCCCAACAACCAGGCAGTAGCGCTCTGTGCTTACGTGAGGCATCCTCCTCGTTCCCCTCGCAGCAATGCCAGCACACAAGTCCAGCCTTCCATGCTCCGTGGAGGGAGCACGCGTGGCAGAGTCACCGTGCTAAACCACTGACTTGGATCAAAGCAGCAGCCCAGTTTAATCTCAGTCTCACCATCCCCTCACAGAAACACACCCTCACTCCTTCTGGTGCCAGGACACTTTGGGTTTGTAGTTGGTAGCTGCTGTGCCGGAACTGTAGCCCAGAAGGGCAAGCTAAGGCTGCTAAGTCTTTATCCCAGAGTTTAGGGCACCGGGCTGCACAGCGGGAAATGAATCAAGTTTTTCTGTTTCGCAGGCAGGAGCTCCAGC